ATAACACGCCTCCATTGAGTGAGGCACTATGTCGTCATCCATTAATCAAGAAGGTTACATTCACTGGTTCTGTAAGCTTTTCTTGCCATTTTCTTTATTTTACTGAATACTGATGGATATTAAGACAAGAGTGGGTAAACTTGTTGCAAAGTTGTGCTCCGACGGATTAAAGAAAGTTACTTTGGAACTAGGAGGCAATTGCCCTTTCTTAATATTCGATGATGCGGATTTGAACCAGGCCGCTGACGGTACGTAGCCCATTTCATATCAGAGGGAGCGATAACACGTGTCTCTGACAACTTTTTATCTTCTGAACCTTCCTTTGAAAAATTTATTAACATACTTAGCTCTCATGGCCCTCAAATGGCGACATGCTGGTCAAGCTTGTATAACGGCCAACCGCGTTTATGTGCAATCTGGTGTTTACGATTCCTTCGCTTCTCTCATCAAAGAAAAAACTTCCAAACTCAAGATCGGCCACGGAGCCGAAGAAGGTACCACAATTGGTCCTCTTACTACCCCTCGAAGTATCGAAAAAGCAGAAAACCAAGTCGAAGATGCCAAAAAGCATGGTGGAAAAGTTGTACTCGGAGGAGGTAAAGTAAAGGACACTAGCGGGTATTTCTTTGAGCCGACTATTATCTTGGGCGCAAAGAAGGAAATGTTGATCACGGAGGAGGAAACTTTCGCGCCAGTATTAGCATTGTATTCTTTCCATACGGAGGATGAGGCTGTGGACGCGGCAAACAACACTAGTGTGAGTTTTGTCTACAAGTTTCCTGTAGATGGTATGTGAGATGGCGCACTGACAAGAATACTATAGATGGGACTAGCATCCTACTTCTTTACTAAGAATATTGATCGTACATGGCGACTTCTCGAAAATCTAGAAGCCGGTATGATTGGTATGAATACTGGTATGTAGTCTCGGTCTCCCAATCCTTCTTTCCTCGACATCAGAAACTTTGTGCTAAATATCCAAATGTAGGTAATGCATCAGCGGCCGAATCACCATTCGGAGGAATCAAAGAATCGGGGTATGGAAAGGAATCTGGGAAAGATGTAGCGGTTAATGAGTACCTCATTGCGAAAACGGGTACGATGACTATTGATGGACATTATTAATTCTCAGTGGTCGAGTATTGGTGATGAACATCTAGGATTGTGATGGATGGAATTATGTATTTACGAGAACATGTTGATGATAGCGCTGATATGAATGAACACCATGTTGCATCCTTCCCGACGAATGATTTGAAAGACTCTCGATGAATGATGTCTGTATGTATAGTCTCCAGTCCAGCCTATGTATCCTTGGTTGTTGTCTGGGTAACAGTCAGGGAGCAGTACCCCCCATACTATCCCGTCATTTGCTTCGTTATCAAACGACAATAAATACAAATAAACGATAATGAAGTCAAATCAAATACAATTCAGCCAAATACATCTCATCTATCTCATTGATTATACCGGAACACAAAGACACAAGTTCGATGAATAATTTCTATCCATTCTCTGTATCAGATCGATTCAGATTTGTTACATCAATCGCGACACGACTCCGAACACATGGTTTTTTCGTCGATTAGATTGATAAGTTATTGGGTCTTCAGGAGGAGATGAGGGGTAGAGGGCGGAGTATTTATATCTTTTGAGTTTGTTATGCGGGTTGGGAGAGGCAACAGGGGAAGAAACGGGGGAAGGCGAGGGGGAGTGAATTGACCTTGGAAAGATGCGGTGGTCTTTGAGTATATCAGTGATTGAGACAAATTAGACTGAACCATTTGAGCTGGTGCAAGAGTTAGAGAAAGCGGGGTATGGAGAGACTATCCGGATTCTCTTCACCTGGATATTTTGACAGAATGATGAGGGTATTTTTTCCTTTCCGATTTTTTCTCGTTGTTTTGTTTAATCTATATATCTTTAGATTTACATTGGTTTTCGTTTAGGACGAGGGGAAAATGAATGTCATGCTCACGTACAAGGTTTGCGTCGCAGTTACGTGCTTGTGATTTGCGAAAGCTACGGAGCGGAGGAGGGGGTTCGAGGAATCGATTTGTGGGTGAGTATGAGTGTTCTTGAGATGTTTTCATGGATAATCGGATGAGGACGGATGGCAAGCATGCAGGTGGTAAACCCCAACAAATTTGTTACTATCCTCTTATTTATTTTTTCTCTTTCTGTTTATGGTGGATATATCAGCTCTTGCGTTTTTGAAATGTGTCGTATCTTTTGAGCTCAGTTGGTGTTCTTATGCTTGAGTAGTCAATATTCTTTTCGCGCCTGGTAATGATGTTTGAAGGTTCAGAGTGTGTCGCGGAGGAGGGGCTTTTAAAATGGATGTTTGGGGATTGTGGGAGGGGATGGGAAGGGGGAGGGGCAGATTGGTGGAGGATGAAGGATGGAGAATGGTGTGAATGTTGGAATATTGGTATCTGACAGGATTTAAGTGAATCGTACGAGCTGCTTAGAAGTAAGTTCTCTGTTGTTGGAAAAGATAGAGCGGGTATATAAGATGCAACTTGATTTCCTCTTTCTATTTGTGTAAATTTGTATCACAGAAAACACCTTCTACAATCATTATATTTGCATCTGCTTTCTTTTCTCTGGCTTTTTGTACAAAGTTTCTATCAGGGTTTGAAAGTGGATGATTCTTAATCTCTATGGGAGGATATTATCATAAGGAACGAGAGGAATCTTCCATATTTTCATTTTCCTCCTGCGTTTGGGGAATTACAGCGAGTAAATATCAAATGACAGTGACGAATTTTTTTCTTAATCTTTCCATCAATCGATAGTGGTGAAAATTTCAGTTCTAGATTCCCCGCTTATTCATTCTTTTTCTTGAACGCATATTAAAGTATAACCTATTACCAATCTCAGCATGCCTGCCCCTTCATCCGCAGCTTTATCTCAGCTTGAGTGACTTGTGTGTTTACACAATACTGGAAAATTCATGGATGAAGGTGTATTTCAATCTATATTACTTTCAAGATGGAACGGTGTGGATGGGTGATGTATAATGGTAGTGAATCAAGATGATTGTGTGAATTCAGATTAGTGTGAATATAGTAGATAGAATGGGCAAGCGGGGTAAAGGATGAAGCATCGCTGGGTGATTCATGTAGAATACCAGGGAGAGGTATTTAAAGCTCCTCCTTGTCTAATCCAAACTCAAGTAACTTCCTACAAGCTGGCAGATCAAGATCCGAAGGTGGAGCTTTAACTATTCAAGTGGAAATCATTTGCTTCGAACAAGACTTCAAAAACAAGTAGGTCTACTGGAGTAACTGGACCAAGAGAACGCAAAGTTTGTTACGATTATGGAGATTTCGTCTGATGTATGTTCATGAGCAATGACAACAAGATTTGAATAATCGACAACGGCAATGGTATCGCGTTTTCCCCTTTGAGTAATTGGTAATGCCGATATTGGGAGACGAGCACTCAGTCATGGGTTTCAGTTGAAATGAGATGTATTGTTCGTCATCACATCATTTGTTTCTTTAACCGCTGCTTTCTTGGCAATTTAGCAAAGAGCCTGCTGGTGCCATTCTAGGACTCTTTATATATCAATGGAGTAATGAAGGTACTCAAAAAATGGTCTCGGTTGGTGTTACAAGAGCTTCGCGTCTACGCATATGACTTAACGAGATGTGTCCGAGAATCTCTTTATAGCCAATGATATTCGCGAAGAAATGGCATAGTGAATGTGTTGAACTTGCTTCAATCTAAAGTAGCAAACGAAGACTCGATGGCTACATAAACTCAAGTAAATTTGATCACCGTTTCAAAACAAACGGTTGCTTTGAGCGCTTGTGATATCCATCAATCTCCAAATCGATCGATTTATTGGTACAATTCCTCTCGTACAGATTAACTAGAAAGGGCCGTATTCTCGAAACAATTTTCATTAGAATGAACATGAAGTGCTTCCACAGAAATTTCTCCAATATCAATCCGAGTTACTTTGGATTAGCAGGAAAAATACAGAAACGACAAAACCAATTCCATTCTCAATCTGAAAACCTTGAGACATCTCAATCCCAGTAACAGAAAATCTCCGAGCAACCTAACGGAAACCGAACATTGGACTTTGAGCACAACTCCCTCATCGCATATCCCTAGAGAAAGTTCCAATCTCTTCCCAAATACCTACACAAATAAATTCATTCTGTTAAAACCCTACTCTTTTTGCATCTCTATATCTGTATGTTATAGCCTTTGAGATTCTTTCCCAACGTAGTCGATTACTGAATTTCTTCTCCAATATATCATTTGTATCTATTCTTTGCGTGGATTAAACAATTAGTAGATAATATCGATGTTCAATGATATAATTCTTTGAAGTTCTGGCGGGCAATCATGATGAAACATAGCATAAGCGTAAATCTGTCTTTATCTCGCTGAATCTGCCCCTTGGCAAATCGGGTCGTTGCAGTGATCAAAACTATTCAATAGCCCACTCCGCAAACTCTAGGAATTCGATCCTGAGAATGATTCTCTAGAGACAGAATCGAAATTTCAGGAGCGGAGATCAAGTGCACTACATCCATATAACTTCTACATCATCTCCATCCTCTGCATCCTCTCGCATTATACGAACCACATTGATCAGAAAATAGCGAACTTCCTAGGCATCTAGTAACATCAAAATTGTGTCTAGAATCAAGAGTCACGCTATATTTAACGACAGCGTTGAGTCAGCTGGAATCGTGAGAAACATAGCGTCGTATTAACAGGTCTGAATATTGTGGCTAGAACGGCGCTAGTTAGTTGGGAATGGCAAGGCTGGAGGAGGGCTACGGTGGAGCAAGGCAACAACAGTGTGTTGGTGATAATTCTAGGCGCAAATCTGATCTAGAATATATATCAGTATGATTGATCCTGAGTAATGCTGTAGACTTCACTTGAAGATGCCTTAACACGTCTATTTGTTATGAGCAACCGATCTGTCAAAATTCCATGGGAATTCAACGACCTGGGGACCAACGATGAAAAGTCACAACTGTTTATAGAGAGCCCACTCCGTGTAATCCAAACTAGAACTACGATTGTTCTGAAGTTCATTCATTATAGTAGGCTAGCAAGATTCCATACTTCTTTCACAAATTCCTCAAATCTCAATCCCTAAAACCCAAATCCGCTTAGTCGTATATGCCGCAGAAAACAATCCCTTAACGAAACCCATCCATGCCATACCATACTATGATCATCATCACCATAACTCCATCATTCTCGTCTTATCTGTGATTGTCGGACCATCACCGATAGTATCGCCACAATATTGCACAGCATCATTTATTTATGGAATAGCTTCGTACGAGCCACTGCCAGAGTTGTGTGCTTCTCTGTTCGAGAACAACCAATAGACGACCAAACCGAGAATAGGGAAGAGGAAGACAACCAAGCACCAGAGGAGTTTGTGGGAAGGAGGACGGTTGGATTTTAGTACCTCGACTGCAGATATATGGTTAGATTTATTCAATTGAAGAAATGGAATGGAAAGGACGGGGAAGGGGAGACATACTGAAAACGATGATATCGAGAATTAATACGATAAATCCAATAACTCCACCACCGGAACCATATTTCCACGCATTGCCATGTCCAGCAGTCTCAATAGGTTGAGCAAATGCCAAAGCGAAGAAGAAGAATTGAAGGAGAAGGGAGAGCGTATTCTGGAACATGATTGCTGATTTGATGTATGGTACTTTGTCGTGTGGTGTTGTATACTGTTTCGGTGTCGTGTGTATAGTGGTCTTCAAATGTCTTTCGGAGTTGATAGAAATAGGGAGAATGTGGCTGCGGTGAGATTATATTGTAATAAGGATTGCACGGAGCTAATGGTTGAAGAATAGCGCCATTTGTTGACGTCATATTTGACTTTCAATTCGTTACAACCAAGGAAATCTGCTTATGCGGGGGAGGGTCAGCTGATGGAGTATTTTATTGGTTAGTTTTCTTACCTTGGACGCGCGTATATCCAATTAAATCGTCGCATCGGTTGCTTACCAAATAAAGTACGTAGTGAATTTGTTAAATGCGAAACACAGAAGTTTTTGACGGTAGGCTGTGTTATTGTCCAACAATTGGATATTTAACGCTTGTCAATTGCTTTTGATAAGCTGAACACACAGGGGCAGGTACTGTTCCATATCGGCTCCAGGTTCATCTAATCCCGTTTCGCGTCCCGCTGAAGTCACGCTTATAGCAACAACACGAATTTGAGACCTTGAGAATGTGAAGTTCTTCCCACCAAAGCCCTTGAAGCATTAACCGTCATTTCGGGTTATTGCCGTCTCTAAAGATTGACGGATTTCCATTGCGCTTAGCATCGATAGTTCTTGCCGAGACTTGCAGATCCTCTAATCTCTAAATGCTAGTACTAAGATTCTTGCTCGCCTGACATGGATTTATCGTGCTAGGCCCGGAAGACACGAGTAGCGAAAGTGCCTACTCTTGGACTCCTTGCGATTGTAGACTTAACCTCGAGCTCTCGAAGTAATGTTGAGAGGACGATTGCCAGCATGCTTTTATATACATAAAGAGATGTGAGATTTCCCAACAATGATGGAAATGATAGTGCTTATATTTTGCCACATGAAGCTCCAGAATTTTGGATCTGATTATATATGAATCTTCTAGACTTGACTTCTTACTACAATTTTGAAACTCTTGAAAAAACAACCAAAGGCCTTATGCTATATCTTTCCTTTGGGATACAATTAATATGTTGAGTACGGATGCATATTAGAACTTTAAAATGTCGATATATTGATAAGTCACTGTCGCCAATCGAAAATGAAGTATTCACTGTCAAAAGACATGTCTAATCGTCGAATATATCTTTCTTGTCTTCTTATTTCAACCAGAAACACAATGCGCTCTCTCTTATTTTAAGACTCAGTGGTAAAAGTATTTAACAACAAAAGACCGAACTATAACAATTTCACTTGCACAAGCCTTGAGATATCATGATGGCGATCAGTTAGCAATACTTGGATTCGCTATTCAACGCAGTCGCGAGCTTTTATATATAGAGTCCATGGGCAGACGGTGAATAGTCTGTGCTTTGCATACTAGGTATGTAAAGCAAAAGAATCAATGAAGAAAATAGAATGTACCCTGGTCTCCCATGCGTTTTTTCATGTCCCCCTCTCCTGATCTTCACCCGTGGACTATGAAAAACACGCCTCTTAATTGGAAGTACAGTAAGTAAGGGCTCCAGGCGACCCTGCACCCAAAAACTAGATAAAGTATCTCTCGTGAGAATCACTATTTCGTGGGCCTACAGAAACATCCCGAGCGATTAAAAGACTAGAATGAGACGGGGAGCCACCAGTATCAATGAGAGTTCTCATCGGTTTTTATTCGTTGACTGTATTTGTTATTCGGTAATAAGAAAACCCAATGGCAACACAAACTTGAAATTCTTTGTGGCCAAGTGAAATTTGATGTGGCCATGTGCTGGAAGCTGTGTTGATTCTGTTGATCCGCCCTTCGATCGACTCTACATGACAATTTTCCAAGCAGTGAAGTGACAACATCAGATGTTAACGATCTCTCAAAAATGCAGCCTAGTGTTCTCTCACACTTTGATTCGAAGAGAAACTATCAACTATCCACATCTCACCCTTAATCAAATACAGCTAAACTTACATCTCCTCCTCAAGAAACCTCACATCATTTATTCTTCCTATACTGATCCTCATCACTCACTCACTCCCAACTCCTCTCCTCTCCTCCCCTCTCCGCCAAATCACACCAACGGCAAATACCATATACCCCAAATCTTACCGCCTTCTTCCCCAGATATACCCCAGATTTACTCTTCCCTTCTTCGACCAATAGAATCTCCTCTCAGACTACCAAAAAGTTTTGTTGCACATCTCAAATTTTTGTAAAAGTTTTTCAACTCATACCACGCTCAATTGTCTTAAAAATTTGATATTTCCAATCGACTGGGAATAAGAAGGGTTCAAAAAGTTATTTTCGTGATGGTGTTTGGAAATGTGGGAGGTGTTGGTGGTGTTGGTGTAGTTGGTGGTGCTATGTATCTCATCTCATCTCATCTCATCTTATCTTATCTTATCTTATCTTGCTTGGTTTTTGCTGTGGTTGGTACTTTTCTATTTCACTGAGATTCATCTTTTGTTTTCTGAAAGAAGTATCTTTAGTTACGGAAAGCTTGTTATATATCTGGGTACCTCTTGAGTTTGTGTTATCCTTTTGGATGTCACATACAGACTTGGAAGGTTGATATATTCCATTGACTTGGAAGAAAAGCTGTTCAAACTTCTTACAAACTATGTATTTTTGAGAATGTGATGGCATTTTACGGGACTCATTTCGCATTCAGGTTCACAATTTGCCTATAAAATTGATTGCACTCGCCCTCATGCTTGGTCACAAAAGGGGAGGTGGTGTGATCTTAGCTGAGGGGTCATATGAGCTGCAAATTTGAATGTACTCGACACTGCAGTCCATCTTCTCGTTTTTGGAAGACTTAGTGTGCTTGAAATGTGCTATATATCCATACATCCCTGCGATTACCCCATCATCTTTCCATTCGCTGGCTGAAACTTGTCAACGAGTCGCTGACAATGATGAGATTGATTTTCCATAATGAATTCTCAATGTGTGCTGTTCTTCCTCGTTAAAATTTGGAGGTTATCAGATGATAACCAGCCCTTTCTTTTTTAGGAGATATGTATCTCTGTCAAGGTGAATTGGAGATCATATATTATGGAGATGCTGAACAAGTTACAGGTTACTGAGACTTGCTACGAGATATGTAGCAATGACATCGAGGTCACCAATTTCTCATGTCATTCCCTCGAGGGGACCAAGTTGTCGACCGCCTATTCAAATTTGGAAAACAAGCTGCCTAGTCTTGACTTGACAGGATCTTCTTTCTTTACGAGAATGAGAAGATAGATAGGAAAAGCAGGTGAATATAGTAGAGCCCAAATTGATGATCCACAACATTGTTCAATTCCAGGAGGCCCCTCCGAAACACGAAACATGAAATATAATTACCTCAGCACAAAATCCCATTTTTCCATGACAGCTTTTTTTGGATGAGGAAGGCGGATGAACAGGAAGATCTATATACACTCTTCTTCTATTGCCCAATAGACGGCAACGGATCAAAGCGAAAGCTCTATTGTAATTGGCTTATATCTAATCTTTGCTGTTGCTGTTGTCGAAGATGCACATCTTTCTGTCTTTTCTCTTTTTCTTTGAAGATTATTGACTGAGATAAGATTCTTCGAGCAATATCTATGCGAGGAATAATCTGCAAATGTCTCACGATAAAAAGTTGAGGGTTCAAAGGTAGTATAATCACCCACACATCTCTCTGGCGCCCATCACTGTCAATATTTCCATGCACGAGAAATTGTTTGACTCTTTGCAACATGTTCCAGCTCCTCTATCTTGTATAGTCACGTCTCCGTATTTATTTGTGGCTATGCCAAGAATGTCAAATTATTCACCCGGAACACACCCAAAAATACCTCTATAAGAACTCCACTCCCCTAATACTCTGCACAATTCGTCAAGTCCAAAAAAGACCTCAAGTTCCTCGAGCAAAGCGGACATGAAATTTGCAATGTGCCGTTAGACCAAACTATCAGAAAGAATCTCCACATGAGCAGCCTGACAGTATTCCGGTATCATGCTAGTTGTTATATCTGTAGTTTCACCGTTGTCAATTCAGGACTTGTTGTTGTTTTCTTACACTCTTTGACCTGTGGAGTTGATTATTACCGGATGGTTTTTTCTTCCGTATATTTTGGCCTCAAGAGAGTGAGTGAAATGCCTCGGTTTTCACGACTGTGATTCTACTGATTCCAGGGCTTCTATTTTTTGTTGAATAAACAGGTGTCACTTCTGCTTCGACCATCGTTCTCTCTCTTTAGACGGCTCTAGCTACTCGCTTCTCAGGCTTGAGCGCTTGTGCGTATTTAAGTAACCTTTCTGGTTGAGTGAATGTGAACAGATGGGCGTGTGGGAAGGAACGAATCCGATGAGGAATCAAAGTGAATACTTTTTTTTCAGACGGAGTAATCAGCATTACTTACGGTACATATATATATACACATAAATCACCAGATATAGTGTCTTCAAGCTTCACGGTAAATGTAATACATAAAAGCTATCCATGGATGTGTAATGCCACTCCTTCTGCATTCGTCCACAAGTCAAAATCACGAGGCTGTGCTTACAACAACGAATGACCGGGAATACAGAATAACTGATATCCAATTATTGTGCTGCATGATCCCATTTCTTATATCTTTTCATCATTTCTATAACCATTCCCGTCGTTTCTACGAAAATCATCGAGAGATGAGATGGGAAGATCTCAAAAACAGCGAAAACACGCGTTTGACGTGTCTAGTCACAGTAGAAAAAAATGCAAAAACATAAACTCTCTCATTCTTCCATTATGACAGTTCATGAACAAGACCAGAGTCATGAAAGTATCTGAGTAGCAGTACCAACATTCGGAGAAAGTCTGGGATATTTTGCAACATTGCCCCTTTGCAAGTTGAAGGGAGCGGTGATATCTATAGATAGGTATTGGTGGATAGAGAGGTTTGGGGTGGTGAATATGTAGACTTGTAGTAATAGTAATGATAGATATACAAAGATGGGTATCTGAGAGGGATACCTAGGTAGTTGGTGGATAGGCGTGTGCAAGTGTACCATTGAAGAAGGGTTATTCGTTTTAAAAATTCCTCTTCCTGCATCTTTCAGATACGTACTACCTATTCAAGACCCAGGTCCCTCCCCACTTCAGATTTTCAAGACATCTCAGTGGTGACCTCGACAGTGCCACGATAGGTTGGTACTTCTATAGCTGCGGATTCTGTCATATTAGCGACTTTAAACTCATGTTGTGTGATAATATCTAGGATTCATGTTATTATCATTAAATCCATACTTTTCGCTGTCTATTTCACTAAGAAATTAATCGATCATGAGACGGTATTCCTGCTAAGAAACTTTTCTCCTCAGAACACTAGCTCAGAACAGCAGAACTTATAGCAAGTTTCCTTTCCCATTATAAAGTAAACCAGTCAGACATTCAAGCGTACCCCTTGTGATGTTTGTATCCGCCATCATCTGGTGCTCTAACTCAGAAAGTTCTGTCCGTTCCATCCTATTTAAGCCAGGTATTTTCGCGGTTCCTTGCTAGGAGAGCTGGAGTATTCGATTTGAGTGAATAGTAGATCATACGTGTGTAGTTTGTAGATGCGGGCTGGCTCTTAATTGCTTTAGCTGGGTGCCTACCTAGGGAGATACCTGGTTAATATGCGTCTATTGTGATATAGAATTCACTAACCATGATTATCTAAATCCGGGAGGACATCTATATCTTGGTGGTAAAGCTTCTTACGCAATCCATGTCCAAGAGAACTGCTGAAGTGCATCGGTCGATCCATGACTTTCCTGCTGCCTCATACCAGTGCCATATTCAATATCTATTCCCTGGCCTGATATTTCTTGGAAAATCTTCGCACAATCATTCCCATCCCAGGTACACAAGTATAATGCTCCTCATTATTGTCACTATTTATTTCCTACTGCTATCGTCCCTCCAAGAAGGTAAGACCGCAACACTTTCCCTCGCGAGAGATATAGGATCAGAGATTGCATAAAGTGGTAGAAATCTCGATATCAGATATGGATTATCTCTTAAGTTTCTCTCGTGCAAGACTACCAGACTTACTTGAAGCACGGTATAGCTTCAAGTTTTGGAAGAGATGAAAAGGGTATTTGATGGGGAAAGGTACCGCATGGGAGAGTTGGGTGAGAATCCCATGATTTGCCCGTTGATCCTGTCGGACTCGTGCGGCTTATAGATTGCTATGCACCATGAGATTGCTTCTTTTAAATCTCTAACTGGTACAAGTTTGTTCACAGCAAAAGCTGGTCTTAGAAAGGACATCAAGCGATGGGTGAATAATACTCTCGAAAATTATTTGAATGGCATGTGTTATCTGAGGTATGTGTGAGTACAGTGGATAACTAGCAAGATCACAATTGCAACTGACGGGTCCCACTTCTTTAGAAGTTGAGCGAAATGATCTAGATCCAATGAATACTGATAAACTTCAAGAATCATCAAAACAGTGATCCACCCATTCACATATTATCCGTATGCTAATACAGACTGACTTTTTAAATCCGCATCTTGTTAACTACTTCCTATTGCCCCCTACCCACAGTTATCTTGATCACGACTTCTCCCTACTCCTTGGTCTTTCATAAAAGAAGAACTCAATCTTAGGCCTTTCCTTTCTCTCCCTCCACTTCTCCGGCACATCAACCTCAATATACTTATCAGGCACCGCCTTAAACCCATGGCTTTCATACAAGTGTTTTGCAATGACTGTCCCCTCAATATACGCTGGTAAACCGAGGGAATCGGCTATGACAATACCATATCGCATCAACAGGGTACCGGCGCCCAGACGCTGGTAAGAAGGGTACGTGGTTAAGATGTCAAGAACTATGAGATATTAGGAATGCGGGTGTTGATTATAAGGGTGATCGGGAATTGGGACGAAGAAAGGAGGGGAAAGAGAAGACAGAACTTACTGACGCAAGGCTCGCCTTTCGTTCGACTGATTTGATGTTGATGGATCCAATTTATTAGATACTCAGCCCATTCATTTGAATCTTGATCTGCGTGCCAGTCAACAGAAATACGTTCCCTCTTCTGTTCCTCACTCAATGGTTCTGTATTTATGAGCCATTTGGCTGCACTTATGAGGGTCCCTTGATCAACTATTAATATCCTTCTTTCAACTTATTTTCTTGACCTCTTGAACTACACCCCAACCTAAGAGTATAGCAGAAAAGTGAAGCGAAAGCCAAACATACCATCCCCATCAACAACCTTCACATACTTTGCTCTCTCATCTCCTACCCAATTATCAACTAATCTTTTGACTGCCTTTTCCCTTTCTTCCGTTTCGGGAAATAAGACAAAAAAGAATGGTTCATGAGGGTTACTGAAAGCGGCAACTTGTTGAGCGAGGATAGCTGGACCATCCGTCAGTGGATCACAGGGAATAAGGCGAAGATTCGATTTCGAGGCGGTGATAGGAATAGGGTGAGGGATGCTGGTGGAGGGGTGAGAAGTTGAGTGGGATGCCATTTCGCTGGTTATGGAGGGTATGATGGGGGTAGTGTGAGCAGAGAATTAACAGATTATGCTGATAGCAATGATGCAGTAAAGGAAATGTACGATCACCCTTCCTACACATCGATTAATTTGCAACTTTAATCTTGCGGAACGAACTGCAGATCCGGCAATTGTAGTTAGGCATGAAATGAACCACCGATAAAGGCGTACCGAAGCACAATTTCGAAATATGCATATACACAGGCTCAGGCGCCACCCGTTGGTAATGCGCGAATCGGCGTATAGAATACCACTGTGATCGGTTTTGTGGCTCTTACAGGTCAGGTTTGGCTTTCATGCCGGGGAAAGAATCTGAAAGTCCTGAACCCCTGTGCGAGTTTGACAAATTGTTGGAAGATATGCTCAAATCAGTTGATTACACGGAGCGACAAAGCAGCGAGGACACCAAGACAGAAAAGTGGTAGGCACAAATTGGACAAGCATAATTCTAAGCGGAAGGATCAACAAGCCTGTTGGTGCGGATAAGCCGTTGAACTAGGACCAGGCCAAGGAGTTCGTAACCCCTGTGAATTTGCTTACGAAAGAGGGGGAAGTAAATTAATGTGGGCCACGTACGGACATACAATTGTTCCAGGACGACTATCTATTAAACGCGTGGCTGCAAATGTGATGTAATGTTTGCTGATTGGACTATCTGAACTTCCAAGCAAACCGGTTTATCCAGACCTCAGAAAGCTCTGATCATACGGAGGACTCTTGTTCATCGGATTTGCTTGCTTTAGAAGAGAAAATTGGATTGCTCCCGACGGTTTGGAACCCAATCGGCAGATCGCGATAATATAAATACTGGGTCAAATGGGGCCTTAATCTACAAACTGTAATGATAGACCCTTTTTGTGATCTTGAGCCGATGTTCTGTGATGTATGAAATTCTTTCGAGTATTCGAATGATGTGGCGTGCTGTGAGAGCTGGCTTGCATGAAAATTGCATAAACGACGAAAAATGTGAATTATGATAGATAAAAAAAAGCTATTTTGCGAGTTCGCCGTTACATTGTCTAATGAGAATTACAAGATCTATAATCTAATGCAAGTAGCCAATAAATGATCGATAATTCTGTCGAATAATAACAATATGATGTACTATATACTGATATCCGCCATTAAGAGATCTACTGCCGTCTTCTGATAGGATCAACAATTGGCCACTTGTAAGCATGCTTACCCCAAATCATGTAAAAGACCACGCTGTAAAGGATAGCAGCAACAAAAATAACGCAAGACCAATTCATCGTAACCGGAGTAACAACTTGAGTATTAGGCCAGAAGCTAAAAAACATGGTGATAGTCGAATAAATCAGTCCAGCGATGTTGGCAACTGGACCAAGAATTGGTCCCAGTTTCCATGGCCCCCAATGTATCTTGTCTTTGGTTGGGTCTTTTCGAAGGCGTTTCTTGAGAATCAAGATGACTATAAGACCAGACTGTTAACATTGCCTATCAAGGATAGACTTTGGAGCAATATGATGAAAATGAGGAGCCGATTTTTGGAAAATTAGATGGGGTTTCCAGTAGCCTGGAGTACAGGTCTATAAGTCTGAGCCAATAAAGCATCAAAGCCAAAAGAATATATGGGAAAAAGAGAATAGTGGAGTATCAATCGGAGATAGAATTAAACGTAGCCGAAGCAAAAGAAGTAGTTGACGGTTCACTCACTTGGGATCATATAGCTGGTAAAAAATGCGGCCACATTAACAGAGACAATTGAGTTGAATGCTGCAGTACTGCCAATATTTATAAGTGCCAACAGGAGTGAAATCACTGCACTGACAAGAATAGAATATATGGGTAATGCTGTTGGTTCATGAACCTGTAGTCAGAAAGTTAGGTAAAAGTGTCGAGATTATTTGGATACTTGTGCTTACGCGAGATATATAGGCGCTACCTGGCACTCCATTGTCTCTTGCGAAAGACCATAATAAACGGGAAGCAGTCGCCATGATACCAATTGCCGCGGCGAGAAGGATGAATAGGATAACCAATGTCATACCAGTGGCAGCAGCGTTGCTATTAGTAGCTCCCCTGAATATTTCGATGAATGGAAAGCCAGTCGCGGAGGTCAGAGCAACATCAATATCTCCTAGGCAGAAGAGAAGAGCTATAAGCAGTGCGAACCCCAGAACGCCATTCAAGATAATACTACTAATCATCGCCCAGGGTATGACCGTGGAAGCATTGTGAACTTCCTCACTCATATGGCAAGCAGAATCGGCTCCTGGGACAATATTAGCTCTATCTTAACGGCGAATGTGGGAGAGAGATATGAAGGTGACCTTACCGAGGAACGAGAAAACGGAAGTAATCAAGCCAATGAAGAAAGACGTTCCATTTGATGACCAACCTCCACCATTGACAAATGTAGCAAAAACATCGCTTGGTTTTCCATGGGGTGCAAGGTAGACTAGAGGAATAAGGATACCGAAAAATCCAAGAATATGGATGCAGAGAACAAATCCTTCAATTTTTGGCAACCAACGAGCCAGATACGTATTGACGAACAGAATGAAAGCTAGAACAGCATAAAATATCAGAGTTGCTTGCCATCTTTCAGGAACGTAAGTTGGATGGTTCAATATCACTAGAGCCTGGATTAATGTTGCGCAGAGGAAAGCCACACTTGCTTGACCTGCTTGCCAGCCAATAACTGTAAGCCATCCTGTCATGTATGAGAGGAATTTCGCGTGGGATTTGGGTGCGAGAATCGAGACCCAATGATATTGGCCGCCACTCAATGGCATCCTAAGTCCGCTGGTTAGACTTAGAAACTCGCGATGGGAGGCTATACGCACATCGAGGACATCTCTGCTAAACTTGCGACGGTACATAATGTACCAAAGAAGCAAAAGATATAACCGTACTGGAAATGTAAAGTTAGTATATACTACTAAAGTTTGAGCCGAGGCGAGACTAAGGTGAAAACTTACAACTAAGCCTGCCGGTCCTCCATTTTGAAACCCGTACAGGAAGACGGCAAACATTCCTTCCCATGTTGAAAGCAGACTACAGACAAATCCTGCGATCGACAAAAAGCCAAAGTTGCGCTACACTATGTCAGCTGTTGATGATGGTATTTTTCGTTAGCACTTACTTTTAACTGTTGACGTTTTCCAAAATACGCCATTTCTTGATCATCTCTGCTGGCGTTGCCTTTCGACCGTGCATGAGGTATCTCATCAGAAGATGTCGACCTTGCCATCACACCCAGTTCTACATGTTTATCTTCCATGATTAAGATCAAAGAGTTTTATAGAATACCAATCGCCGAGCGAGCTCGTGAATGACAAACAATAGTAATGGAAATGAAGAGAAATAAAGCAAAAGAAAATCATGACGGGGATTGAGGTTTATTTGCCCTTCTTCAAGATGCACTGCAGTCTGCAGAATTAAACCCTTGCATGGATCACCGAGTGGCAGGTAGGAGAAAAAAAATCCATGACACCACCCACAGGAAAAACTGTCTCATGCAACCATTTTGGTAGATACCCGATGCATCAAATGGTAGCGAGGTGGTCTGTATATTATGATACGTTCGCTGGTGCGAGGGATATATGAATATGCATTTTGATCAACTCCGCTCCAGCTTGGAAGGAAATAAATTGTGCAGTCTAGAGCAATGTCAGCTTTCTCGACTTTCTATTAGGTAGGTAGTTGTAATGGTAACGGGCTGAGCGGGGAAGCCTTTCCTATCAAAGTTAGCGTTTCACGTGGGTTCGGTAAATGCTGGGCTAGTTCATGCGGAGGGTTAATTTGATAGACGCCTCATCGCCGCCGTAATACACACTTTTAACCGTCCAACATTTATTACTATCTCACCTTATCATAACGATGAGCATAAAACCATTCAGCTGACCTTTTAAATGCAATGCCGGAATGTTCTCGAACTTGGCACAAAGCTAAATATCTGCATCTATTGTTGTCACTCTAAGTAACGAGCTGGTCAAGCGTCTCTCAAATTTCAAGACAAGATTTTCGGCTGTCTGGAAATTATCTCGTCTTCTTATGGGCTTGTCCGATCGTAAATTGGACAAGCATATGTGTTGGTATTCAATACTCTAGGTACGGAACTGTGCTCCGTAATTTTTAATTGATTATCACATGACAGATCCTGTGTAGCAGAGTCTTGCGACAAACTAGATCTAGCATCTAGACTTACTGTCACCCGATATTGATTTATATCTCATTAGTACCAGGTTGACAATCTTGTGTAACCTGATCAACGCGTATGGCGCTGCTGAGGACCCTGACTCGTTTCATCCAAGCTAATCATTAACATGAAAGAGAAGTCTGTTTGGATCCCAACTCTGCTGTGCATGATAGCCATATTGTGGCACAGCTTGAATAAAATGTGGTGTTTATTTCTGGGATCAAGGAGCGAGCAAGTGTTCATGGGGATCTTATTGCAGTTGCGACGCCTCAGAAGCTCTCAAAACTCGGACTTTACGGAGTTCCGATTAGCTATTGCCAAATTTCCGAATTGAATTGAAGAGAAAGGTTTGATCCAGTGATTGAAGTCTTGTTTATTATCATTTCTATCAGCAAATGCGTCATAGATGTCACTGCTATGGGCATAATTCTACATTTGACGGTTGGAAGTGACCAGAAGTAGGTACCAAAAACCTCGGAATTACAGCATTGCTTTTTTTTTTTAAATGCCATCCTCATGTATCACGAAGCTGCGCTCCCTTGCATTGTTCCAGCAAAGTTCTTTTTTCAACTCCGTGACTCAGAAACTCACAAGTTCTTTTGCGATCGACGAATATATGCGAGTATTGACATTGGAGAGATGTATATCTCATTTCATTGCCATTCATCCACATTCTTTACCATATCTGGATTATTCTTACAATGACATCGACACCCATATTCTCGCGACAAATCATCATATCGAGCCATAATGAAGGCCCTGCGGTTAATCTTGTATCATGGATAGGGTTGAGCACAATGATACTGAGTGTCGGAGCGAGGCTTGGGAGTAAATTTATGGTGGTGAGGCGATTGAGTATAGACGATAGTTTGATCATAGTTGCGATGGTTAGTATATTATAGCAAGTCAAATTCTGAGAGCAACACTAATTTTCTAGTTCTTTGGGATCTGTCATAGTGTTTTTCTTTCAATGATGGTTGATAATGGACTTGGTCGGGATCAAGATACTCTCAACAGGAAAGAGCTGGAAAACTACCAAAAAGTTCGTCCCCATCAGGATGTTCGTTGGATGTTCTGTCTTTTGCTCGAAAATTTGTGTGTTCTTTCTGACTTCGAGACAGTATGCTTACGCATCTCAATTGGTTTATATTCCAACTCTTTGCTTTGCGAAACTAAGTACATTGTTCTATCTACGAGCCTTAACGCCGGACTCCAATTACGCAATATTCAACCGACTTACCGAGATATGTGTGATATTATGGGCTTTAAGCGCAGAGATTTGTATCGTGTTCCAGTGCGACATGCCGAACCCTTGGGCCATTCTTTCTACCGGCAAATGTTTCAATATCGTAAGCTGAGTTGTTGTGTCTACCTTGGCGCAAATAACTAACGATAAAAGGGCGCATTCTGGAAAGCTATTGGGGCCTTCGACATAGCAACTGATTGTGACATCATATTGTTGCCGATATTTCTCGTTTGGGGGCTTCAGATGCCGTTGAGGCGTAAAGTCCTTGTTTTCATAGCATTTGGGACTAGAGTATTGTAAGTGGAAATTTGGTATCCTCATAGAGGTAGATAATCTAACGATCTGGCAGCATTTTACCCTTATCAATAGTGCGACTCGTCGTGATTTCTTCTTCGGGATCTCCCACGCTTCCAAATCAAACACTAGTTTCATATCATAATTACCTCTGGACCTCTGTCCAACTAAACTCTGCCATTTTCTTCGCATGCTTATCATTCCTCAAACCATTTATGGAATCAATGTCATCCGGTGGTCTTGCCGCATCTGTCAATCCAATGGATTCATCCTATAGCGACAAGCAATCCCCCTCCAATTCAAAATTAAGCACCTTCATCTCTTTTCAATCTGGGTGGAGAGCCTCCAAGAAGAATTCTTCCCGGCCACCACAAGAGCTTCGCACTATATCAACGTTTCAAGATTACGATGAAGATGACGAAATCTCGACTCCTACTGCCACATCTCCAAATTCTAATCTCAAAATATCGTCACCTGTGTTTAACATTCGATTCAATAATACAAATACGAATGGGAAGCTGAGCCACGAAGGCGAGGAACTTGGCACATTGAGACCTGACGGAGCGATGACCTTTGCACATATTAGACGCTCGACACCAGATGACGCGGCAGAAAGGAGTACGGTTGGTAGCGATAAGATGATCATCAGACGTACAACTGAATGGGACGTGCGAGAAGACTTCGAGAGCGTCAGGGGAAGAAGAACTCATTCTGGGGATAGAGGTGGAGATGAAGAGGACTATGAGATACATAAGGCTAGTATGGAGAGGTGAGATAATAAAGCTTGGGGTGAGAGAGGTACACATTATGCTGGGTAGATGGCGACGTTGAATATCTGAAATATAAATGAAATTCAGACTTAATGGAACATGGACGAGGGTTTGCAACGGCTAGATATAGGATATACCACAAGGTTAGGAAAAGCAAATCAAGGGTTAGTGTTCATGGACATCGGGTGAAAGAATTAACTGGGCCTACTGGATGGGATATAACTCACTACTTACAAAGTTTCATTTGTTTCAGATTAAGATAATAATCATATTCAATCATTCATCACAAAATATCTTCACGGTGGAAACAATACCCCCTTTCAAAATTTTATCGTTTGATTGGCGATACTGCACCTGCAAACACCATGCCCCACCAAGAAACGAATGCACTCCCTTCAGGATCTTTATTCATTGAAGTTTTATATTCAAACCCCCGTCAAAGGACAATAATTTACCTGTCCCTTCATAAAATCCTAACAGTTGCATCCCTGCTGACTGTACATAATCCTTCATCCCAATCCCCCACTCCATAAGCACCAGCCTCATTTCACTCACCTGCCTACAACATCCAGAACTCACCACGGTATCGATATAAAAGAATCTCCCTCTGAATCAAAACCCCATAATACAATTCTCGCAAACAAACTATTGATCTCAAAGCGCAAGAAAGAAAGCAATCAACCTCTCCTTTTGCATTTTATCCAGTTCTCACCACTCCCTACAGCTGCACCATCCACCACCCAGCATGCCAACCTACCTCCTCGAGATAGATCTGTCCGCTAAAGACACCTTTGAACACTTCACCCAACTTGTCAAAACCCTCTCCAAAAATCCACCTGATTCCGACACCCATTCCGAATTATCAGAAGCTGATTCTGTAGGCCTTACGCATGATCCTGTAGAAAGTGGAATAATCGTCATCCGTAAGTAATTCTCTACTCGCATCTCCCACGATTTTCCCATTCTATATCATTCTCTTCACCAATTTAAGAGACAAAAATTTCGTGATGGAAGAATAAAATACTCAAACAATCATAATATTAACAAACCCAGATTCCCACACCCTAGCAACCCTCACCAAGATCCTAGAACCCCACCTCCCTTACTTCCCCATCGCGCCAAAAGTTACTCAGACGTCAGAGAAAGGAGTCTACGATCCTGCTGGATATCCTGTGCAACAACTTTTGATCTACGTACCGTTGGATTCTGAGTCAGATGATACAGCTAGTGCTAATGTCGACGGGAATGAAGATGGTGGAGAAACAAAAATTCAGAAATTGAAGACATTATTTGATGCAAATTCAATTCAACTTGAGCGGGAGGGGAAAGTAAGTGGGATGCGACAGAGTGAAATTATTATGCCTTCTTCATCTCCAGTATCCTCTTCAGAAATACAGTATGAGGGTCGAAAATGTAGGGTCTGGAGTGTTTGGCTTACGTGGGTGTCGGCGAAGGGAAGGTATCATGAAGGTCGTGATGATAGAAAGGGCGGAAATGTTGCAGATGAGAAAGAAAGTCTTGCAGAGCAGATTGATTGGAAGAAGGTGGGGGTGTTTGGGTGGGATGAAAGAAATTGGATGTTCAGCAGTTTGGGGGGGTTTCTGGCGAAAGATCAGGGCAGTTGTGGTGTCATGTGAGTAATGAATGAGGAAGGCATAGAGCAGGAAAAATAATCTGCTGTTGGTTGTGGTTTTCGTTTTCCATGCAAAATCATCCTAAAATTTTACGCAAGCTTCAAATGGAGGGAGCAACATTGTGAAGAAGCTTTGCAGCATTTGGCACACTTCGAGGACATTTAGATCAATCATAAGCACAGCATAAAAGCACTATTTCTATTTTCAAGATACAATAGCAATGGTGTGTAATACTAATAAATACAAAATTCCAAACTCACTCACCATTTCGATGAAAAGCAACCCTTGAAGTACATGACATTTTAAAATTCATTCTCCGAATTGGCCAACACACTTCCACTACTAATCTCCTCATCTTCATACTGATCATCGTCCTCAGAATCACTGTCATCGCCCACTGCTACTCCATTCTCATCTGCATTCATGTCTGCCCAGTCATCGTTAAGGTCGTCGTCATAAGTAGTGCTCGCTAAAGCTCCCTTTGAACTGGATATCCCTCTACGATTGGGCTGGGTGAGCTTCGCAGTGACGTTCAGTTCGTTCTTGCTGAAAAATGGATGGGTTTCGGTAAGGACCTTGCCTTGACAAACATATCCCATGGGAGTATGGGAAAAGTCTTGTCCCTTTCGTCTAACGCTCAACCATTCTTGCAGAAATGTCAGAGGTCTGGACGTAAAACCGGCGGAGGTCTGATCTTTTCCATTTCTATTTTCCGTGGCTTTTCCATCGATAACATGGCCGTCTTCTTCCAAGCAGTCTTCTTGTGACTCTTCCATAGTCTTCTCTATTTGAAATCCTAAGAATCCACGGAGATACTCATATTGGGAGTATTCAAAGTAAAGAGCTCCCGAAAAAATACCTAACTGTACTAACAACCATGTCGGCGCAACCCAGTCCTTTGGAAGTGCGGGTATAGCATAGTATTGGAGATCATTGAAGTTAAAAAGCATCTTGCGGGTCGTAGGGGCTGCATATGTCAAGAGAAAACATGCAGGAGCTAGGCAGTCACAAAGAATTGGAATGAGGAGCTCCGTTTCTTCGGGTATTACGACTAACGCGGTTTCGGTGATAGGACTCCACAGGACCCAACTCACTTGACGCTAAACAACAAATGTTAGCAAAAGCGTAAATTTAAGAAATTTTTTGAACCCAATTGAATCTTGGAAGAGTCGTAGTCTCTCGTATACGTTGAAACCCTCAAAGTCGCCCCAAGGTTCAAAACGAACTATGGAGAGAATATTCTCCAAGCAGACTATTGCAGACACAGAGTTAACTTACCAGAAAGTTGTCATGTGGTTGAATCACTTTAACAGACCGCATGAATTCTTTAGAAACAAATAGTCGAGAATTGAGAGCTTCAGCGTTGATTCCAAACTTCCTACCAATTTCGGTTCTTCTCAAAGCTACAAAGGCATGTTCACAACACTATAGGTTCCGTTAGTCAGTATTAATTATCAAGAAAGGATTTAGGAGAGAATGAGGAGGCAATGAATCAGTGACGTATGAAAATGGGTCGATTGAATGGAATAAAAAAGCGGGAATTTGTCGTCAAGGAACAGAAGTAGACAATAGAGAAAAGGAAATCGGCGAGCTGTTCGAACTTACTACGGAGCCTGCTGGAATTCTGCCAGTTCTGACAAAGGTTACAATGTCCTTTTCCAGCCCAGGGAACGACCAAGCGTTATAATGAATAGGTCTTTGAACCTCACGAACAGTTTCAACTTCGTAGGCAACTTCTCTTTCTTGTTCAACTTCTTGTAGAGCAGTATGATGGACAGCATCGCCAGTATCTCGAAAGCTTTTACGCATTGCATTAAGCTCTTTGACAAAACTGGCTGTTTGGGAGGCCAATTCACCAGTACCAATAACAGTCTTGGTTTTGGTTTTAATTCCGTAAAGCTGGTGTAAAGAAAGCTGCTCCTTTTGCCTGAGGGTATCTAGATACTGCTGTCGGTGGTCCGCATTGGTGAGGAAATCTATATTATCAGTAGCAGCCTGAACTCTACGGCAATAATCAATGCCTTGAGAATAATACAATGGCTGCATAAGCTCTATACCTACGCACGTCTGCTCCAGAAGCCAACGAATGACGTCGTAAGAGTCCAGGTAATTGCCATGGGTTTTTTTAACACAGTCTAATATGCTCTGATTAACCTCAGGTGGTGCGAAGAATATAACAGATTGAGTAGTCGCGAGTTGCCTCAGTCTCATTGCTGCCTGCACAGTATGATCTTTGCTTTGTCCAAGACCTATTCCAAATTAGTGTCAGCGTCATTATTTTTTAAAATTAAGGACTCACTTAGGGTTAGTGCTCCACAAGCTTTGGCAGGCATTTTCAAATCAATCCCGCGACAATGGGCTTCATCGAGATAAACAACAACGTTTGTTAGGTCATCGGAATATGGTGAAGCTGACAACGGCACCGGTCTATACTTCTTATGGACCACCATCGGCTTTCCTGCTTCATCAAAGTAAACGGCAGCATGTGCTTGTGTGTCAATCTCAAGCCATGTTCTCGCAAGTGACTCATTGCTCAATTCGAGAATCTGGGCTCCAGCATCGATGAGCACTCGGATACCTAATTTCGATATCTTGTGCAACAAGTCAATCTCAGAAAGATGCCGGCCTCGTTCATCAGCTGCTACTACATATCGCCGGTTTCTGGGCTGAAGCAAGTAGGTAAGAACCTCAGAATTGGTGTGGGCAAGTCTCTCCAGGTCTTGCTGTTTGAGAGTTAGTGGCAGTAAGTTTCGATTATCGTTGGTGCCACTAAAGCCTGTCGTAATGGAATTTGGATTGTCCGCTGACGATAAAGGAATCTCCCACCCGCTAGCTTGTAGTTTGAGACTGAAGGATTTGGCATGTGCCGGAAATACAAAATTGTTACAGTAGTAGTCGATGATTACTGGAGACATGTTGAAATACGTCCAGAGCTCAAGCATTTGTTGTTCATCTTCAAGATTAATACTATTCCAGTCCCGCAACGTATCAGGCAGCACAGAACAGCTCATGGACCATTGATCATATATCGAGGCCGGATCGTCTGATTTGAGAACATGCTCGAGGGCTTGGTGCAATTGCTTGTTATTTAGCCCTTCGTAATAAAATGCTAAACAAGTAAGAAGTATTGCGACGTCTGGGTGGCCCCATTCAGCTTGATCCGAGGGCACGCCTTTGCCATGGAACGGGACCGCAATGGGGTCTCTATCGGGGTGAAGACCATATTGTACATGCCACCTCTTTTTTAGCGCCAACAACAATATTCGGTGTACCAAAAGACCGCGGACATTGAGGAGATTGCGTTTCATTGACGGTTTATCCGAAAATACACCTTTCACAACCTTGGAGACAGCTGTGGTAACCTTGGGCTTGGTTATGAAGTCCCTAATGGCCAGGCGATCCAATCTGGAGCAACGAGACATATCCAGAATTGAAGTTCGCCCAATACATATATCAGCAACTAGCCTACTCAGTAGCTCCTCTTCAACATCTTTTCGGAGGAAAAATGGCATAGGGTAGCCTCCACAATTTCTTCGAACAACTTCGATACTATGAGGATAAGCTTTCTCGAGATTGTATAGATGTCCTTCTACAAGGGCCAGCAAAGCTTGGGCTGTCTCCCAACGATGAGGATAATTGTCAACAGAGTTCTGAGCACCGCTCGGATATATTAGTTGTGTGCGTAACGAGAGAATCTGATCGCTTTCATCCATTACATCTCGGCAACGATTACCTAGCCATTGTTGCACTTTCACCATTGAATTCCCCTCATTTACATGGCCATCCGAAAGTCGTTGAAGCCCAGATAATCGGAATGAAAGTATATGCTCCGGCAAAGCAATAGCTATACCTGAGCTTTGAAGAGTTGCCTTGTGCAAATTGAAATAAGTCTTCACTGTATCTGTAGGAGTCTTTCTTGAGAATGGTACGTGGAGGATGCTTCTACCCAACAGAGATCCGAGACGTGCTTGTAACAACTGCGCAGTTGGAACCAACAATGGTTTCGGCACAATGATTCGTACGAGGCGCTCGGTATTGGCTAGCTTGCACGCCACCATAGGTACAATAATTGAAGTCTTTCCTTGTCCCATATTCATTTGTAAAACAGAATTTGATTTGGAATTCGGCGAAATTGTAGCCCTGGCTACGTCGACTTGATCAGGCCGAATAAGAACATTCGCTTCCACCTCGATCAAAAGCCAATCAGGTTCTTCGATCGGCTGCCAATTTGAATGGCCCAGATTATTCTGTTCTTCAATCAAGCGTTGTTGGTCGCCCTTTGAGAATGCTTCTTCAATCCGAAGTAGTCTTTGAAGTTCTGTGATATATAAAGCGTACTTGATCAGAGTCTCTCTCATTCCGCTCCCAAAGTTGATTTCTGTGCTCGAGGTAGAACGTAAATTCTCAAGTAGTGTAATGGTTGAAACACATGGATACAAGCCTCCTGGACGTAACCATGCAGCACTCGGGCTGTCAAATGATCGACATATTTCCTGGAATAATTCTCTTGTGGCGCTTCTAGTCTTGTCTATATCACTGGAAAGTTTTGGAGGGTCGACAAATTTTCTACCACTTTTCGGAAGCTGCTCAAATGACTTGAATGAAGACAAGCTCTGCAGCAGTTCCTGTCCATATTTTTGGCGTATCAACGAGGCTTCATTGCCCATGAGATCTAGTATAACTAATATCAGTAAAATTTCATATGTATATTATGGATGTTGAGTAGCAGAAAGCCAATCTCGAATGCGACTTACCTGAAACAATGCGCTCCAGAAGAGACGCTTCTTGAGAGATTATATGGCCATTGTGACTCGATATCTCGGCTTGTATAATAGACGGAGCTACTGTGGTAGATGATGTCATGATCTTGCATGGCATTCGCATTAGATCTTCCGACAGCATGGGAAAGTCACTGCCTCGAACTCTTGATGCGTATACTATTTGCTTTTGAACCTCCATATTTGGCAACTGAAATTTAGTTCCACTGTAGGCTCGAGAAAGCA